CCCCCCCCCGTTTCTAATTATTTCCCTTAAGATCCTTTCCACTTTTTACGCCTCTGTTCAGATTTAATACTGTAAAATAAACTTTACATACATCCTAATGCAGAAAACAGGGGAAATTGTTGTCTTAAAAGTTAAGGGATTGTTTGAATTTTAGGAAAGTATAAGAGGTCCAAACTGGAGACTGTAGACTTAGGTTTACAGAGCGATTCACAACGGAAACTTTAAAAGCTTTGTCTGATCAAAACAATGAGATATTCATGATTTATCTTTAAAAAAATGATTATTTACGCGGTTTTATTTTACAAAATCGCGGATTCCTGACCATAAAAAGTATTGCCAGAAATTTTGACACTTTCCAAGCTAGACAAACGACGATATCTTCCATTATATTGGTACCGTTTTGAATTAGGTCAAGAAAATTAAACAATTAACCCTTAACTCAGATGTACGCGACTAATAGGGGAAGGGTTTGATTTATAAAATTTATCCCAACCTTCTGTTCTGCATGAAGATGATCTGCTGAGGTAAGAATCTGAATCTCCATGGTTTTAGCTCTTTCTCTCCGGAGCTGGAGTTGGTTTACAACACTCACAAGATCAGGTTCAGCGTCATGGTGCCGGAACTTCTCCCAAGTTGAAGATTTTAATCCTTCCTTGAAGGTTTTTCTAAAAAATATAATGTTTAAAAGGACATTTTTAGAACTTTTGCGTTGTAAACATTGAGATAATTAGTCTCCATCTTACGCAGACGGGTTGATTTGATTCCTTTACTTTAATTGAGGGATCAAGAATATATCCTAAAATTAAAAAGTATTCAGATTGGATATCATTAGTAATACTCTAGTTCTCTGCAGTATAAAGTTAAAGAACAATAACAAAAATATGCATTAAACCGTATAATTGCTCGAAATATATAATTTGTCTTTGAGAGGACTTTAATCAAACTTCTTAATTTTAAATATCAAAGGTCCATGACATTGGATTGCAAAAATATAGAAAATCAGAGTTTGTGGCAAAAACTCATGCATTAGAAATTAATCCCTATCGCTTAATCTGAATATCCAATGTGGAAACTTATGATTTTCTTAATCATCTCTTTTTGTACACTATGATTGGTAGAATTTTAGGCACTTTAGTGGATTAGGATTAATCTGAAGATTAACAAGAAGAGAAGATCAAGCATTGATCTCAATATCTCCGCAATTCTAAAGTTTTCAGCTCAGAGTAAATAGTGACTTTCTTCAACAAAAATGTTGATATAGCCTGTTTTTTCTTTTGGCATTACAAGGACATTTCCAGTGACCCTCCATGCAAAGATGACAATGTCCAATTAAACGGTATCCTGATAAAGCTTTGTCTGATCAAGAATAAGTAAGGTATCAAACTGATGAAATCAATTGCGGTTTCTTTCCTGCGTTTTTCTATACTGCTGGAAAACATACAAGTTATCAGAATTAAACATTTTTAACTCCAGAAAAAAGACGACAATATCTATCACACTTTTAATCATATAAATGTTGTGAATCATGCATTGCCATATCTGCATCAAGAGTCACTCGAAATAACACGAACAGTCCCTTTCAGAAGTCAGTATTACCCCCTACCGAATAATAATTTGGATATTAACGAGTTTCAGAACAACAGTTTGCAAAATCTTGATAATATTTTGATATAAATACATCATGACAATAACAGAGTTGTATAAACTATTAGATCCATAAAATAGATCAAATTCTTTTATAGTTTCATTGAGATATAATTGTAAATTTAAAGGGACTGGAAGCATAATTTCAAGTGACCTTCCGTGCAAAGATGACAATGCACAATGGTACCCTTTAAAGGGAGTGACCGGCTATGTAAGGTAGTTGAACTGAGCATGCAGTGTTGTGGAAAACTTCTTTCGGATTCATTTGAGACATATTAAACATTTTAAAGATCTGTAAACCCTGAGTTGGAGCGCAAATTAATAATTAAATTTATAAATTAAATTAATAATTAAAAAAAAATAATTCTGAAAACGTATCCACCCCCAAAGTAGGAGTTTTGAACGTCGAATTTGCGCTCAAACTCAGGATTTACAGATCTTTAAAAAGTTTAATATGTCTCAAATGAATCCGAAAGAAGTTTTCCACAGCACTGCATACTCAGTTCAACTACTTTACATAGCCGGTCACTCCCTTTAATGCTTTGTCTGATCAAGTATAAATTAGATACCAATGTATATAATTTTGAAAACTTATTATCTTCAATTGTGGTTTCTATAAAAAAAACCGCAAAAAAGCTTGTCGGAATTATTTTAATCAAACCCTTTTATACCTATAAAAACAAGTAAATCCTCCATATTAAAAAAATGAAAGGTTTCAAGGGTTACGTTTTAGAATCTGATAAATTTAGTTAAACTAATGGAAAGGAAACACATCACTGATATGTTTTCAGAATAGTGCTTTTAATGATTAAATAACGACAAAAAATTTAACAAATTTTACAGTAAACTAATTAATTGTTTAGGAACAGGTTGAGAAAGTAAAAATTAATCTTATCATCAAAAATAATATTCAATTATAAGTTTCTATAATATCTTTCTTCGTTCACAAAGACTTTCTGCAGATTTTCTGGAATTTTTATTGAAAAGACGACATTTGAAGAATTTGTGAAATCTACGAATAAATTCATAGAAGATATAAAGAAATTCAATATAATGATAAAACCGAAATAATTGATTCTAGTATTGATTTATTGACAAATTTCTTTTAAGAAATATGTTCCTAACCATCTAATTAGTTTAATGTATTATTTTTACTTTATTTTTCGTCGTCGTTATATGATAATTTAAAAAAACCGATTCTGAAAACATACCCTCCAAAGTTCGTGATTTTGAACGTCGACTATGCACTCAAACTCAGTAATTATACATCGTGGAAACGTTTTGTATGTGTCAAATGAATTTGTCCACAACACTGCCTACTCAGTTTAACTACCTTACATAGCCGGTCTGTCCCTTTAAAATGCATTTCTTAAAATAAAAAAATTAATATTTTCTTTATTTAAAGGGAACTTCATTTAGAAATTGCCATTAATAATTCATAACAGAGGTTTCTGAGCTGTCAGTGCGGCTTTTCAAAAAAGGTTTTGTGGATTTCTACAGAATAAATGGCAGAAATATTTCTTCTAAGAGACTTTGATTGTCAATTCAAGTGAACCTCCATATAAGGATGGTAATGCTCGATTCACAAAGGTACCCTTGAAGCATTCATCTGATCAATGCTGTGGAAGATATATTCGTCGTTCTAGGTTTAACAGATTTTAACTCTGATAATTTCTATGTTTTCCTGCAGTATGAAATGTGCAATTCACTTTTGATGAGAAACCACAATTAAAAATAATCAGATTTTAAATTTTTAAACGATGATATCTGGTTTGTACTTGATCAGACAAGAATTGGAATTCGTTGACAATTACTTTTAGATGTAGCTTACCTTGAATCCACAGCAGACAGTGTAACATGAGGAATAGTATTATCATCAGCCTGTTGTGTTGCCAGGATTCTGGGAGCATACAGGTTGGTGAAATGTTCATCCAACATTATCTGTTCATACTTTTTAAAAATAGCTTTACGGTCTTCAAGGATCAAACCGCTTCGAAGCCTGTGATCTAAACATTTAAAAAATGAGTGACAAAGTCCTTTTGCTTGCGTCTTCTTTCCGATAATCGTTTCAACCCCACTCATGATGTCATCCATAAGCCCCTCTTGAATATCGATAGTAATGAGCTTCTCCTCATCTGTATCCAGCTTGATGTTGAGACACCGCACCAGTAGTTTGATGGTACTACCCTGGAGGAAGACTGTGAAGAAGACCATTGCTAGAGCAGCAGATACAAACAGCTCCCTGTACCAGACATCCTTTTCCAAGACAACAGCCAGAGAGAATCCCACAGCACCACGTAAACCTCCATAGCCCATTATGATCTGCTCCTTGAACTCTATCTTATGAATCCTGCGGAGGTTGACGAGAGAGGAGAAGATGAATGTTCCGAGGAACCTGAAGATTGAACATAGAACTATTGTTGCTAAAATGAATCCAACATGGAAGTTATGACTCTCTTGAATTAGAACTATACCAAGGAAAAGGAAAATGATACAGTCACTGGTAGTTGCCAGTGTCTTGATTGCGTACTTGACCGTGGTGTAGCTTTCTCGACCAAGGTTCTGGAACCCATATCGCTTCACTGTAATCCCAAACGCTATAATGCTTATAATCCCAGACCAATGAACCAACTCCGCCATAAGGAATGCAAAGTATGCACTGCTGAATATTACTAAAGGCTCCACAACGCGAACATGTTTAGTAAATGTTGTAATATAGCTTGCAAAGATACCGTTCAGAAAGCCTATGATGGCCCCACCAAAAGCAACAGAGAAGAAAGATAGGATGGCCATCATCGTCTCATACCAGCCTACATCTGGTATATCAAGCAGTACATTCATAGTGTTGTACAGTACAACAGTTACACCATCGTTAAACAATGATTCTCCAAAGACTAGAAAATAAAGGCCCATGTGTACATGGATTTCTTCAAAGATTGCTAACACTGCTACAGGATCGACTGCTGATATTAAGCTGGAGAATATTAAGCATTCTGTTGGTTTCAACTCATGGATCATCTGGATCCCAGATTCATTAGACTTAAACTCTCCTAGTATTCCAGTATAGGACAATCCATACAGACTGAACCCTATAGCAAACACATTAAAGAGAGTTCCAAACACAGCGAAGATCATGACAGCATTGAAGTTATCAAAGAAGTCTCTGTCATAGAGTGCCAAAGCAGAATCAAGTATGATTGGAGGCAGGAGTACGTTAAAGAATAGCTCTGAAGTGAAGGTTGGGAATGGATTATGATCAGTTTGAATAAAATCATCCAGGATCACATAGTCGATGATAATAGCGGCAAATATACCGACAACAATAAGAACACATGATTCAGGAAGGAGTTTAGCAAGCCAGGGGAGGTGATGGAAGATGATTTTTAGGATCACTGCACATAATATCATGCCAGTAAACATAATGGGACTTGAATACTCGGACCACCGCCAGGAGGCAAGGTGTACTCCGTGATGTTCATCATGAACCTTATGGGTTTCGTGGAGTTGTGTTGGAAGCACATTATGATGGTCATAGCCATCATGACTGCCAGGAGCATTAACATTTTTATCACTTAGGTTATGTTTTACGCCATTATGATTATTATGAACACTACCGGTTGAGGCACACAGAACTGTTTGTATAAAAAATATAAGAAATATTAAAAACTGCATCCTTGCATTATCACGGCGCCGGGACAACTAACTCTTATCTTTCTTTATTCAAGTCCTGTGTGTAAATCACTTTATCATTTTAGTAGAATAGGGTATGATTGTTATTCATGTTAGAATTATTTTTTTTGTAAAATAAAACTATGTTTTTCACAATTGAAAGTTAATCCACTTTTTTAATCACTCCAAATTGTCTGGATTAATCCTAAAAATGGCACATTAGTGTTCAAACTAAGGTCAATGAATAATTTTAAGTTTTAAAGATTTTTATCCGGCTTTCTCCTACACTTGACGTAGAAACCGGGCAAATGCTTTGCAGTTTCTTTAATTATGTAATATTCAACACTAGATGCGTTTAGATGTTAAAATTCTTTAGATTTTTTCCTAGCATCATTCAATTTATACAACACTTATAATTGCATAAATATCTGGGAATGCAAGTAAAGAAATTGAGTCTTTGCCACAAACTCAAATGTTCTAATCCCGTTATTTTTGCAACCTGAAGGTGTAAACGTTTGATATTTCAAACTTTGATTATTTATTAACACTAACAGAATTCATAGTTTGAAAGGAATTGAGTCTTTGGAACAAAATCCAATATTTTAAAACTCAATATCTTTAGAACTCAATGTTGTAAACCTTTGATATTTCAAACTCAGATTATTTGATCTAACAGAAATCATAGTTTGAAATGTCTAAGGTCTGCAAGATTTAGTTACAAAGTTATAGTGATTAGAAAATCAGAGTTTGTGGCAAAGACTCAATTCCTTTCTAAGTCCCACGACGTTGGGTCGTAAAGATATAAGGATTAGAAAGTGACACTTTGCGCACTCAATTCCTTTGCGCCACTTGTTTGATACTCTAATCTATACTTTGTTTATTCAGTAAAGTTGCATGTACATTATTTTTTCAAAAACGATCGTTTTTCCAAAAACGACCGTTTTTATAAAGTTCGTCGTTTCGTTAAGGATAGTTAAAATAATTGTCAATACAATTTTGTTATCAAAAACGATCGTTTTTTCAAGAGCGATCGTTTTTTTTAAAAAAACAATCGTGCAAAAAAACGGTCGCAAATCGTTTGTATAAACACGATCGTTTTCAAAAACGATCGTTATTCGTTTTCTAAAAGTTTAAAACCAGTGGGTTGTTTTTAAAAACGATCGTTTTTTACCGAAAACGAAACGATCGTTTTTGAAATCGATTGTAAAACGAAACAAAAAACGATCGTTTAACGATCGTTTTTAAAAATGATTAACAACCCTACCCGTGGGGCAACTCGGTACTGTACAGTCCTGATTAGCATGTAAGTACAGGATTATCCACAAAGGATTAGAATGTGAAGACAACCTAAATATATCAAATTATGGTAGTCCCACCATTAGAATAAGAATTAGAATAGAAGAGTACCCTGGGCAACGCTGGGTTCACAAGCTAGTTGTTGAATCAAATTGATAGTTTAAAATAGTTTAATTTTTGATAGTATTTCTGCAAAAATCAATTGAGTTAAAGTGGTCAATAAATTACCGATATATTTAATTTTGTTATTAGAGGAAGCTGTAACTTGATTGTATAGACCATATGGCAATATGGTCCTAGNAAAGTTATTGAAAAATATATCTTATGGGGATGCTTAAATAAAAAAATAACTTTTCAGAGAATTTTTCATTTTTGATTTCATTTTGACTGTCTTTGGATACATTTAAAAAAAACACAAAAAAACAGACGCGGAAAGTTTCCAACTTATCATGTTTGTAATTATTTGTCTACTGAGCCCAAAACTTAAGACAGGGTATCGTAGTTAAAACCAGTTTCATGAATGGGGTTAGGTAGTTTTGTGAATATCAATATTTGTGTCATGAAACTTTATTTCATTTAGTTTCTCAATATCCTCCATTTTTTCCGAATCTCTTTAAATCAAAATCTACACAAATGTTAAACCCCCCCAAAAAGAAAACGCGGGAGTTTCGTTCAACGATACTCTTTTAAATTTCAGGCTCTGCGCACTTTACATAAAGTTACATGTTTACATTGTTTAAACTTACAGTTTACAATGTACAGAGTACAGTGCACAATGTACAAAATAAGAAAACAGGTATGGCTTAAAGTGAATATAAATTTTTAAATTTTTTTTCTGTGCAAACACACCTTTCTCTATCGCTGGAAAACATCGAATTCAAATATTAAACTGCAACCACATTGACAAAAGTGCATTAAATAATATGCATTTATTCTGTGGGTTCCGTGAGAAAACAAATATGCATAAAATAAGAAATTGAACAGGATTAAAGTTCCAATGGGGGGGGGGGGAGAGGAAAGAAAGAGAGATTGAATCCCCTTCCCCCCTCTTATAATTACTGCATATGAAGCTTACATAATATATTTTTAGCTTTGTCTGCTACAAAACTGTGAATGTAGAATTATCGAAACTTAATAGATATATAATGTGCCATTTCCTAAGTTCCACTTTTTACTCTAGGTGTTTCGAACTACTGGGAGAAGATTAACCCTCTCCTCCAGGTTAGTGGTACTACTGGGAGAAGGTTTAATCCTTTCCTTTAGGTCTGTTAAACTACTGATAGTTGTTATGCATGTTAACTGTGTAACTACTCATCTCACACTGAATTGCCTAATCATACTAACTTTAGAATTTACAGGCGTGGGGGCGGGTATAGGCTTGAGGGCGTTACATATTGCTCCCCAAAACCTGAAATCTAAGAGCTCTCCCCCCCCCTCAAACAAGCCATATATAAATTTTTCCCATTTAAAACTCCAAAACAAAACGTATAATAAGTAAGTTATTATTTTTTCCTCCCAATTCAGGAAAGGGAAAGTCACATTTTTGTTGTTTACATTTTTATTGTTAACCTTTTTATTGTTTACATTTTTGTAGTTTACATTTTTATTGTTTACATTTTTATTGTTTACATTTTTAATGTTTACATTTTTAAAGTTTACATTTTTGTAGTTTACATTTTTAATGTTTACGTTTTTATTGTTAACCTTTTTATTGTTTACATTTTTGTAGTTTGCATTTTTATTGTTAACATTTTTCTTGTTTACATTTTTAATGTTTACATTTTTATTGTTTACATTTTTAATGTTTACATTTTTAAAGTTTACATTTTTATTGTTTACATTTTTGTTGTTTACATTTTTATTGTTTACATTTTTGTTGTTTACATTTTTACCGTTTACATTTTTGTTGTTTACATTTTTATTGCTTACCTCTTTATTGTTTACATATTTATTGTTAACCTTTTTATTGTTTACATTTTTGTAGTTTACATTTTTATTGTTTACATTTTTAATGTTTACAATTTTATTGTTTACATTTTTATTGTTTACATTTTTAATGTTTACAATTTTATTGTTTACATTTATTGTTTACATTTTTAATGTTTACATTTTTATTGTTTTCATTTTTGTAGTTTACATTTTTTTTTTGAAATCTAGATATTTATTTACGTATCATTTATAGTTTACAGGATTGTTGAAAATATGAATTTATCACAAAAGTTTATTAACGAATTATCATGTGCATACAAATATAGATAAATAAATCAATAAAGTCGGAATAGATTTTAAAAGATACATTTTTTACGTATTTTTTCCATTTCTGAATCATTTGTAAGTTTATATTCAAATATTTATAATAAAGCAGTTCGTGAGGAAAAAACTAAATTACTTATTACTAGGGACAGAGGGACCCAGGGTTGGTTTGGGCATGTCCATTACCGTCCAGAAATGGTGACATTTCTGGATTAGAGACCGGACCACAGCGACCCCCTTATCAGTAAGATGCACACGGTCGTCCTTTAACATCTTTCCTCTCGAGACCCAGTCGTCGCGGTGACAAATGTCTTCGGAGGTTAAAACGAATGCATCCTTGAGGGAATCCAATCGTTGATTTACATATTTATTGTTAACCTTTTTATTGTTTACATTTTTGTAGTTTACATTTTTATTGTTTACATTTTTAATGTTTACATTTTTACTGTTTACATTTTTAATGTTTACATTTTTAATGTTTACATTTTGATTGTTTACATTTTAATTGTTTACATTTTTATTGTTTACACTTTTATTGTTTACATTTTTGTAGTTTACATTTTTATTGTTTACATTTTTATTGTTTACATTTTTGTTGTTTACATTTTTGTTGTGTACATTTTTATTGTTTACATTTTTATTGTTACATTTTTAATGTTTACATTTTTAAAGTTTACATTTTTGTGGTTTACATTTTTATTGTTAACCTTTTTATTGATTACATTTTTGTAGTTTACATTTTTATTGTTTACATTTTTCTTGTTACATTTTAATTGTTTACATTTTAATTGTTTACATTTTTATTATTTACATTTTTATTGTTTACATTTTTAATGTTATATTTTAATGTTACATTTTTATTGTTAACCTTTTTATTGTTTACATTTTTATTGTTTACATTTTTTTGAATAATTTATAGTGGATTGCTATTATTTTTCCACGATAAACTTACAACTGATAGTCGTAAAAACTGTAAATTTATTATAATTTTGAAAAAATTAAATAGCTTTTTAAAGTGAACTCTGTTAGATCAAAAAACCTAAGTTTGAAATATCTAAAGTTTACACCAGCAGATAGCAAAGATAAAGGTATATAAGGAGTTTGTGGAATAGCTCGTTTCCTTTCGGATTATCAACTCACAGAACGAGCTACTAAGCTACATATTAAAATATGGAATTATTAAGAATTAAACAAAAACCCGAGAAATTATTCAAAATTGTAGGTTTATTTTAGCGGAGCCCCTGAATTGAAAGTTTGTGCACGATTTTACCCTTTTGTCGCCTGATTATACCAGACAATTGATACGACCTTGCCTACTGCATTGAGCACATACATTACACAACTTTAAACATATGTTTTTAACTCATATATAGAGAATACATTTATTGTCAAGATAAGCATCTCTTCTCCTATAATCCAATCCTTCCCGTCTACTCCCAATCCTTCTCCTCCACTCCCAACCTTTCTCCTCCACTCCCAATCTTTCTCCTCCACTCCCAACCTTTCTACTCCACTCCCAATCCTTCTCCTCTACTCTATATTCTTCTCCTCTACTCCCAATCATTCTACTCTACTCCCAATCCTTCCCCTCTACTCCCAATCCTTCTCCTCCACTCCCAACCTTTCTCCTCCACTCCCAATCTTTCTCCTCCACTC